TGCTGTCAAATCTAGGAGCTAATTTCTGTTCTTAACCACTTCTAACTCAATATTATTAGTTAGCACTAAGGCAGTGGTTATTAAGAATGAATACTTTACAACTTTAGTTATGGTCTTGCAGATCCATTAATAAAGATGTTTTAAACATACAGTCAGGTCCAAAAGTATTTAGAAAATGACACAGTTTTTGGAATTTTGCCTCTGTGATTTGACAGAGATTGAATTGTAGTCTTTCAGCTTTAATTCAAGGGCTTTAACAAACACAATGTATTAACCATTTAGGAATTTACAGACAATTCTTATATAGTCTCTCCATTTTCACAGGCTCCAAAGTAATTGGACAGTTGGATAATTGGAAAATCCGTTTCATGCCAGGTGTGGCCTGTTTAAGAAGAGCAAAGCAAAATAAGGAGATAAAAGGTCTAGAGCTGAGGGAGTGAGGTGGCTGCTGACAGAGCTAATATTGCTGTAGCTGCCGTTAAACCACCAAACAGGACACTTCTGTTCTGGTTAGAGAGTGAGATGAGTCATCATTTAAGAGGAACAGCCTCAAACAACATGCCGTTTCAGTATTAAGCAAGCAAGTAAAAAGGGAGATACCAATGTCTTACTACAGGAATGTGCCAATACATATGCAGAAAAGAGTCCAAAGGTTTGCATGGAGATAAAAGAAAAATGATGTTCCTGTTGCTTACATGGGATCTCTGGGAATAGATTCCATGAAAGGCATCAGAGTTAAACCAAGATAAAAGTAGTCACAATGCATATGACCAGAAATACAGTTTAAATTTGGATCCACTAGGCCACCATATCATTTTCCCCTTTGTACAGTGGACATTTTAATACATGGTGGTGGAAATGATGTCAAGTTAGACAAGAATCTAACTCTGGGGACAGTGTTCATTTTGAATGACTTACATACTTGAATAATTGTGAACGAGAGTCAAGTACAAATTGAAGTTATTTGAATTAGCCATATTAAATGTAATGGAATGTGTATGAACAGGCTGAGAAACATATCAGATTGCGTTAGAAAATTTCACGTTACATTCATGAATTGTGAATTTCCCCAATGTGGGACTACTAAAGGACTATCTTATCTTAAAGAGCTGGACTTAGAACAGTGCTAGAATAATAGGTATTGTTGGCATTTTTGATTTATTCGTTGACATGACTTTACTGAGAGAAAGAGAGAGCAGTATTGTTACGAGGAAAAGTTAAAGATTGAGTATTACTGTTTAGGACTAATTGGGCAAGGACGTAAATGAACTGTGACATTTCAGATGGACTTTTTTGATAATTATTAGTCAGAGGGAAGTGTTCCTATGTGAAGGTCCCCATATGGAAAAACCAAATGGACATGCATTTTCATATATTTGAAATACAAATACACTGCAGTCCATGCCGAAATACATTCCAAACACTAAAATGTATTTCAGAATATTTTGCCATAATGACCCAAAATTATTTAAAATACAATTATTTTTTTATGTGTAGCGAAATATTACACATAGAGATGTACCATACGAAATAAATGTTACATATATTTAAATATATTGATATCTTGTTTATTTGAAATTTTGGCCATTTTCATACATGGCAAAAATATACATCTTAAATATATTTGGAAAATACATTTAAAATGCATTTTAATATTTAACAAATACATTTTGGGACCATTTTCACACATTGCAAAAATATTCTTGATAAATGCATTTGAAATATATATTTGGTTCCATATCATCTTTAATTTGTCCAACAGGTGGCGTTAGTGTGCTGTCAACATAATTACCGTCTGACAGGGAGTAGAGAGAGAATGTGCTCACTGTGGCTGTCCTTCCCTCTACAACATCACATACTCTCTCTGCGTCTCTCTCTGTATCTCTCTCTGTTTTATGCATGGATAATGTCTCAGCAAAACACTGAAACTTTGTTTAAAAAGTATTTATTAAAATCACTGGACTGTTTATATCCTGATAAGATTTAGATATTTTTAAGCAATGTACTTAAAATAAAGGTTAGATTTTTGTTAAAATTTTGGATGAAAGATAAGCAATAAAGAATGTTTTTTACAGCATGTTTTGCTTATGTGGTGCTATTATTTGTGGAGGGCACCGTATATCTGTAACTTTTGTTTAAGCTACATACAATTGAAAACATAAGCTTCCCAGGCAAAAAATTATTAATCTTGCGTGTTTATGGTAGTAGTAACTTCAGGCTCCTGCAGATGGTGTTGCACAGGGATGATCAGGCTAAAAATACCTGCGGGGTGTGTGACGGGATTCATAGATTGAGAAAAGATGGTACAGTGTAGTAAATGTCTTGTTCAATGTGTGAAAAATGGGTCACAAAGCAGATGTTAATGATTGGCTAAAAGGCCACAGTGTGAAGGAAGTAGCTGAACTTGCAGGTGTATTGAAACACACAGTCATATGGGTCGACCAGCAGTGTCAAAAATCCCAGTCTACAGGAAATTCTCTTCAGAACTGCGGTAGAAAGATGAAACTGGTGAACAGGGGCCGCTGATGTGCTTCATGGCTCGTAGATAAAAATCACTTCACTTCCAAGCAAGAAATGCTTCTAGAAGTCACCACAGGTTCTTCACCACCAATTTCTGAAAGAACTCTCCACAGGGAACTGCACACCCTGCAGAGTGGCACGCAGGAGGCCTCCACTCACTTCTGCTTACATAGTTGCCCAGTTACAGTGGGCAAAGAGACAAACACTGGACTGTTCATGACTGGAAACGTGTTATCTGGTCAGATGTATCTGGTTTCTTCCTGTGTGTAAGTGATGCTGGGCGTCGTCTTCATTGTAGACCTCAGGAAGCCTTCAGTGAGGACTGTGTGCAGGTGTAGTTCAAGCTGGAGGAGCTCTGTGATGTTCTGGCGGTGTTTTAATTATGTGGAAATGGGTCCTTTGGTTGAAATGGCAGTACATTTGAACCACAGCGCCCACATTGAGCTGCTGGACAAACAGGTTTTGCCTTTTGGTCATCATCTTACTAGAACATAACATTCCTATCAAATCTGACTGATTGGCATGATGAACGTTCAGGAGCTTCACACATCTGGACTGGCCTGCAAAATCCCCAGATTTGAATCCTCTTGAAAATCTGTGGGACGACTTGGAACAATGAGTAAAACGCCAGGGAAGGCACCAGGAAATCTGGCCAAACTGTGCAATTCTTTAATGCAAGAATGGCTAAACACTGATGTCTGTCACGGATTCTCCCTTTGTCCCTCTCAGTGTGTCTTTCGTCCCCTCTATGGTAGCCATGTGTTTTTGTTTTCTTGTACCATGTGCTTTTTGTTGTTGTTCTGTCTCCTCCCTGGTCCTGCCCCTTGTTATCTGTTCCACCTGCCTGTAGCTCTGCCCTTCATTAGTCACAGGTGTTTCTTGTTTCCCCTCTGTGTATTTATACCCCTGTGTTTGTTCAGTCTCAGTCTTGCATTGCGGATGTACTCGTGGATGTTATCTTGTCTCTTGTTTGCTTGTTGCTCTTGTAGTTTGGTTTTGTTTTTGTCATGGACTCTAATTTCAATAAAATAACTCGCATTTGCGTCCCACCTCCATGCCTCCTCTGTTACAATGTCACCTACATCCAGAAACTTGTCCAGTGTTGTTGTCATATGTTTGCCAAATCAAATCACAGAAATACATTTTTGGCCTCTTTCATACTTGCATATCAGTGATTATATCTATATTTTTTATGAACAGAATCCACAATGTATTGACTGGTATCCCTTCTTTGTTAATTTTGAACAGCATCCTTAAGTGCAATTATTAACTAGGTTAGTAAACATTAGGGGTGGGAATCTCTAGGCACCTCACGATTCGATTCGATTATGATTCAGGGGGCAGCAATGCGATTATAAAAGGATTCTCGATGCATCTTTTTTTTTTCTATACAGCATTTGTATTCTCTCACTAAGTGAGGACATGGTATTTATAAAGCAAAGTATTTGTAATGATCCATAATAAATTTACTTCCAATGTCTTTTACTAATAAATCAAATGGAAGTGATGTGGCAAGTGAACTAGAAGACTCTCATTCACTGCTGTTGTTTGGAGCACATGAGACGCTGCTGCCACTCATCTGTGATAAAATGCGCTGTTACGGTGAAATAAGATCCAGTGGTAATGGATGACCACGCAGCACGTTACAGCCTTCCAACCCTTCCAAATATGACAATGCAGATAATATGATGGCATAAAAAAAGGACTGAAAAAAGCATGTAAACACAAATCAATGACATAAATACATAAATACATACAATTATAGCTGGAACCAAGTAAAATAAAAAAAAAAAAACTTACATCAAATTAAGTTGCAGACTGATATGTCGTCTGAAATAAGATGCTTTATGAGCCTTGTAAACAACAATAAAAAATGTGAATCTGAGCATCATATCTTACACACTTTCACTCACTCAGCATCTAAGCTGCTTCTCCTCCTGTGTCATGGGGGATGCTGGAACCTACTGGCCGGAAGCAGGATATACCCTGGACAGATTACCAGTCCATCACAGGGCAGACAGACACAAGGCAGTTTAGTGTCTCCAGTTGTCCTGACTGCATGTCTTTGGACGGTGCAGTGAAACTGGTGCACCCAGAGGAAACCCACGCAAACACAGAGAGAACATGCACACAGAAAGGACCCTGATTGCCCTTCTTGGGGTGAGGCGACAGCAGTACCCAATCAGCCACTGTGCAGCCCTATCCAGTGCCAGATTCCTTCAGATCAACACTGGAAGTTGAATTTAGTTCTTTTTTACATTCAAAACTAATGTATGCTTGCAGAGAGCAGTTTGCACTGTATTGAAGGAGCACTGAAGTCTTTCAATACTGCAGATTCAGCAGAACAGTGTAGAATAGTGACATTCACTCTGCTGTTCTTTCCAGTGGTGGTGGGACCACTTCCTGATTACCTCATGCCTCACTGAAGGTGTAGGTTCAGATTCTCTGTTGTCTGCTATTGTGCTTTGCACACCGTGAATTAGAAATGTCACTGCAGCAGATTCTAAAGGCAGCAGGGCTAAGCTCAACCAAACAGAATGGATTTTTGATCTTTATCTTGGCTGGCCTTGTTGTGGCTGAGAACTTTATTGAGAGAGACTTTCAGTGTATTTGTAAGCGCATCATTGGAGTAATCTTTTTCACCTTCTACCTAGTCATGCCTGCATTTATCGTTTTCACTGTCACATTCTGCATCATGAGTGAGCTGGAAAGGCAAAAATCAGAGACACCTGCTGAGGGAACTCAAAATCAGAAACCTGCTGGGGGGGCTCAAAATCAGATGTCTGCTGGGGGAACTCAAAATCAGGAATCTGCTGAGGGAGCTCAAAATCAGAAAACTAATCAACGTTCATTTATCCTACGGTGTGTTATTCCAAGTATCTTTTGGATAATCTTGTTCCTCAGTGATGGCAGATATGTGGCGTGTGTGGCTACTATATTAAAGGGAGATTATTCTGACAGCACTGCGCTGCCTCCATGGGAATGGTGTAATGAAAATCGAACGCTGAGTACTGACCAGAAGCAAGCAGAGACAGCATATATCATTTCTAAGGTAAGACATTGAAATGTGCAAGCTGCATAATCTAGACCCACTCTTCTTAAAAGATTGACAGATTTTTATTGTTTGCTACAGCCTCAGTTCTAGATTACTTTAACCGAAGGGGGGGTTAATACACTTTAAGGTAGCATGGCCTTAAAAGAAGTTAGAAGAGAAGTATATGAAAATAGAGTTAGAATGATTGAAGGCAGCATTGTTTCATGCTTAGTATTTGAACTTACAAGGTGTACCTTGAATGGTGTAGAAATGACACAGTAACAAATGTAATGGAGTTGGCAGAGAGTGATGCTCTGTGCGATTTTCTGTGCCCAAATAAAAAAACTGTAAAACTTTGTTGAGTGCAGTATGACTGTAACACTTCAGTGTAGCTGGATTATGCGTGTTGTGCATGGAAAAATTGCTGCTAGTGTGGCTGGCGGGTGAGATGTGTGGGGCAGCTACACTGTAAAAATGGTTCATATACATTATTATATGTGTTACCAACAAATTGAACAAGTTAATTAATATAAATACATCAAATAAGTCAAATATGTCAAATAAGTAAAATGACTGACACAATAGTTAGTTCAAAGTGTTTACTTCAGTAAAATTAGATGTTACATGTTACCACTAACCAGTTTTCTATACCATAACCTGACCCTAGACCGGGCCGTAACAACCATGTAAGTGGTACGTTTGTTAACTGTGAAATGCACAATTAAAGACGAACATGTAGGAAAGAATGAATGATTACTAAGAGAACATTAAAGTTTCTAATTAACTGTTAATAAGAGTCTGATATCAGTGCATTTTTTTGCTTTTCACTTAGTCATAAGCAAAAATTTGAACACCCTGGTCAAACAATATTTGTTGATTACATTTGTGAAAATAAGTTAACATATCCTCTATGAGAACAAGCCAAACTGTCTCTGAAAACAGTTCGTCGCTGCATCCACAAGTGCAAGTTAAAACTCTAAAATACAAAGAAGAAACCAGATATAAACAGGATCCAGAAACGCTGCCACCTTCTCTGGGCCTGAGCTCATTTAAAATGGACTGAGGGGAAGTGGAAAAGTGGTCCGACAAATCAACATTTGAATTTCTTTTTGGAAATCATGGACACTGTGACCTCTGGGCTAAAGACCACTCAGCTTGTTATCAGTGCACAGTTCAAAAGCCAGTATTCATAATGGTACAGGGGGGCATTAGTGCACATGGCATGGGTGACGTGAACATCTGTGAGGGCACCATTAATGCTGAACGATATATACATGTTTTGGAGCAACATATGCTGCCATCCAGACAACGTCTTTTTCAGGGAAGGCCTTGATTTTTTCAGCAAGACAATGTTAAATCACATTCCACATGTATTACAGCATTACAGTATTGTGTGAGTTTTTGTTATTCAGAATTCATCTCTGCAGATCTGTGTTCTTTTGTTCCAGGGGGTGGGTTTTGGTCTCCTCCTCTTATGCTCATTTGTGATACTGGTTTATGGATGCTGTAAGGAATGTGGAGCCTCCAGTGAACAGGTCAATTCTCTATCCAAGGCTTGTTTTAATCTACAGTGGAAAAACAACTAGATATCCTCATGATCAAACTGTTCTCTTCTCAGGCCAGGGCAGAGCGGGGAAATGCTGGAAAGCAGGACAGCAAATAACAGAATACATCTACATAAGTACATTCAGATCACTGAGCCATCATCAAACTGCACATCTTTCAGTTTAGAATGAAAGCTATCAGGATCATGCATGAATACATCACTTCATTACTGTAACATTTTATCCTCTTTGAAATCTTTGTATGCATTTTTGAACATTTTTTTTTGCATCATTTATATCTTCTTTTTTATATGATTTACTTGGTAAAGCCTGCTAAGCATCTGCAAATTAAAAAGATTTAATATTTGTTCATCACATGCAGTTGTGTTAAAAGATGATGTTACCTCCTAGTTAATTTATTAAGAAAATTAAATAAATTGTTTCATATTTCTAGCAGAGCAGAATTTATATCAGTAAACTGATAAATTTTTATTGATTTCCTTATTTCATTTAATTTTTTAACTTTATTTTTGTATGTGTGATTATTCACTGTAAGCTTTGTAAAACATGTGTAAAATTGTTTTTGTTGGAGGGACAAATAAATGTAACCAAGGGATTTTGGGAGATTGTATTGATTTATATTTTGGCCACAGAAGAACTGTGAATTTCATACACAAGGAAGTAAACATCTGGATAAAATTGAGCTAGAAGATTTGGAAACAATCAAAATATTTTATATGGTAACACTTTATCTTAAGGTCTATTTCTTAATGATGAACTATTCCAAATTGTAACGTGACAGAATGACGCAGACCCTCGCAGATAAAAGGTGAATGAGAGGCTTTACTAGTACAAACAGAATCCACAATCGTAGTCAGGTCACAGGCAATGGTCAAATCCAGAAAAGACAACATAGACAAACTGGAGCGCTGATTGGAGCGTGAGAGTGAGGCTGGAGTCACATGATCTCCCAGGGGATTCTGGGAGATTGAGTCCAAAGAGAGTTCAGAGCCGAGGGGAATCGTGACAGTACCCCCCCCCCCACAAAGAGTCCGGGATGGCCTCGGAACGACGCCGACCAGGACGACCACCACGCCCACATCCGGAGATCAGAACAGGAGCAGGACTCGAGCTGCCGTGGCACTAGACAGATGCGGTCTGTTGTTGATGACCCTACAGATGCACCTTCCGTAGACGGCCCCTAGGTCGAGGAGCAGGTTTCTCTGGGTGACGGCTGTGAAAGTCCGCTATCAAATTGGGATCCAATATATCCCGTGCAGGTACCCAACACTGCTCTTCAGGGCCGTATCCCTCCCAATCCACGAGGTACTGGAGTACACCTCCATGTCTCCAGGAGTCCAGCAACCTACGGACAGCAAACACAGGTGCTCCGTCTATCTCCTCCGGATGGGGTGGTGTGACGTTTGGTGTAGCCTCGTCCAAGGGCCCTGGAATCACAGGTTTCAGTAAAGAGACATGAAAAGAACATAAGACTCTGAACCTGGGGGGCAAATCCAATTCATAAGTCACTTCGTTAAGCCTTTTCAGTATTTTGAAAGGACCAATGAATTTAGGGAGCAATTTTCTACTTCCCTCAGAAACTCTGAAATCCTTGGTAGACAGCCACACTCTATCTCCAGGCTGATAGATGGGGGTTTCACCTCTATGGCGGTCAGCTTTCTCCTTATTTTTTCTTAGTACTTCCTCAATCCGCTGGTGGGTTTCCTCCCAAACGCTTTCACTTCTCTGCATCCAAGCATCAACAGTTGGGGCATTAGTGATGGCACCTGTCCATGGTGCCAGTGGAGGCTGGTAACCCAGGACACACTGAAAAGGGGAAAGACCTGTTGCAGAACTTAATGAGTTTTGTGCTATTTCTGCCCATAAAAGAAACTTAGACCAGTCTGAGGAGGAGTTGTTTATGCAAAAGAGTCTGAGGAATTTCCCCAGTTCCTGGTTCATTCGCTCACATTGAGCTGGGTCTGGTAATGGTACCAATTTGCCTGTGGGCAGAGTCTTAGGGGTCTTGCATTGAGAAATGGTACAAGAAGCAACATATGAATGAACATCACGGTTCATAGTCTCCCACCAGTACCTATTGGCTAATAATTTCTGCGTACAGGTCTCTCCTGGATGACCAGATGAAAGAAAAGAGTGGGCCCAGGTTATTAACCTTTCTCAAAACTGTGATGGTACATAAAGTTTACCAGGAGGGCAATGACTAGGGACTTGGGAGTTTAGTGTCGTTTAGTGTACCATAGTGTCGTTCAGTGGGTGTCAACTTATGGGAGTAGAAAGCTATCGGATGGAGTTTTAGAGGGTTACCGACATGTTGTGATAGGACAGTGCCAACACCTATTTCTGAGGCATCCACCTCCGCGATAAAAGGCTCTGAGGGATCAGGATGTTTGAGGATAGGGGCAGTAGAAAACGATTCTTTTAGTGCTTGAAAAGCCTTCTCAGCTGGTTCAGTCCATTGAAACTTTTTGGCATTGCCTTTGCTGCCCCCCTAACTGCTCTACTCAATGCTACTAAAGCCTTGAATGAAACAGCAATAGAAATTAGCAAAACCTAGGAATCGTTGGAATGCTTCAACTGAGGATGGTGTGGGCCATTCAACACTGCATCAACTTTCTTATCGTCCATCACGACCCCATTGGGGCTAATGATATAACCCAGAAATGAAACAGATTGTATGTGGAATTCGCACTTTTCTCCTTTTATGTACAAATTGTTTTCTAAGAGTTTCTGAAGGACTGCCCGAACGTGACTGATGTGGGACTCCAGGTCTGGTGAGTACAAAAGAATGTCGTATATATAGGCTATCGCAAATTTACCCAATATCGCTCTGAGGACGTCATTGATAAATGCTTGGAAGACAGAGGGGGCGATAGAGAGCCTGAAAGGCATCTCAAGATACTCATAGTGCCCTCTGGTTGTCACAAAAGCTGTTTTCCATTCATCTCCTTCTTTGACACGAATGAGGTTGTAAGCACTTCTCAAGTCCAGTTTAGTAAAATATTTGGCTCCCTTTAGTTGTTCTAGGGAACTAATGGAAGTGGATAAGGATATGTCTTAGTGATTTGATTTAGATCTCTGTAATCTATGCAGGGACGAAGACCTCCATCCTTCTTTTAAACAAAGAAGAAGCCTGAGGCTAAAACCCTGATCGAGAGCTTCTTGGATATAAGTATCCATGGCCAGTTCCTCCTTTGAGTAAGGGGATATACACATGACCTAAGGAGTATAGGGTTCTCTACAAGATCAATGGCACAGTCATATGATCTGTGTGGGGGTAGTTTTGTGGCATTGCCCTTGCTAAACACCTCCCTGAGGTCCATGTACTCAGGAGGAATGGTTACATTACTGTCAGTCTAGTGGCTTCCTATGGATGTGGAATCGACAGGCAATGTGGGTGGAGATACACAGTTCAGGTGGCAGAATTCAGACCATCTCTTTATTTCTCATTCTGACCAGGAGATTGTGGGGTTATGTTTTTCTAACCAGGGTAAACCTAGAATAAGTTCAAACTCTGATTGTTGTATGACAAAAAGGGACAGGTTTTCCGAATGTAGAGCACTGGTTTTGGTGAGTAGGGGCTGGGTCTGTGATGAAATGGCTCCTACATGGGCTCCATCCAGCGCAGCTACTCGCAGTGTTGTTGGCAGGTCTTCTACAGGAGCGCGGAGTTGTTCAACGAGGTGGGAATGGATAAAATTTCCTACAGCTCCTGAATCTATAAGAGCTGAAACAACAACAGACACTTGATGACAGCAGACAATTACTGGTATTAAAAATGACTTGGAAACCAACCCCTTTGTGGGAACACTCACCACATTAACTTTCCAGGGGTCGGCACAGAATTTTTGGGTGGCCTGGTCCTGCAATCCTGTATTAGATGACCGGCACCACCACAGTACAGACAAAGGCCCTCTCTCAGCCGTCGAAGCCTCTCCTCTTTGGATAGGCGGGAGGAGTCACACTGCATGTGCCCTTCACTGTCTTCATGAGTCAGGTGTTTAGGGGTAATTCGGGTTTTCACCATGTTTTTCCAGGATTGTCAGTTCATTTCCTGCTGCAATTATTCAGCAGCTGATCGAGGCGAATGGAGAGGGTTATTAACTGGTCTAAGGAAAGGTCATCGTCTTTGCACGCCAGTTCTGTTAGAACGTCCGCATTAAGTCGCTGGCGGAACATAACTAGTAGTGCTGCTTTGTTCCATCCGCTACTAGAAGTTAACGTGCGGAACTCCACAGCATATTCTACCACTGAGCGGTGGCCTTGGTGATGCTTGGTTAACAGTTAAACACTGACTTGTCCTTCATGGGGGTAATCAAGCACAATTTTAAATTCTTTTAGGAATTGGCTAAAAGACAGGTTGTGTGGCCCATTCTAAAGCTTTCTCTGATAAACGAGACACCAAAAATGAGATCTTGGCCTGGTCGGAGATAGCGGGTGAATTATTTTAAAAAAATTGGAACATTGAAGCAAAAAACGCGACACTTGTCAGGGTTGCCATCAAATTTATCCGGTTTACTGACTGGAAAAACAGCACTCGAGTTCACAGTTGAACTTGAAGGACTGATGGGACTCACTACCGGCTCTGCTGGGTTGAGACTCTGAAGTTGGGTGGTGAGATCCTTCACACTGTTAACCAGGAGCGCTAGAGTTTGTTGTTCTGACTGCTCGTGAGCTAAGGACTCCAGAGACTGAGTTACCCCTGCTAGCACGTGTTGATGTCGGCTGAGCAGATGTCCTTACTCATTCAGAGCTTTCTGTAAAGCCTCTTGATCTGCCATCTGCATGGCTGGCGAGGTATTCTGTAACGCGACAGAATGACGCAGACCCTCGCAGATAAAAGGTGAATGAGAGGCTTTACTAGTACAAACAGAATCCACAATCGTAGTCAGGTCACAGGCAATGGTCAAACTCCAGAAAAGACAATATAGACAAAAACACAAACATAACCAGGCAAAAGAGTCCAAAAGGGATCAGGCAAAAGGCAGGTCAAAAAACAAGGCAAAATGGGTCAGAACAGGAATAAACAGTCAGAAATAACGCTCAGTAGTTCTATGAAAAGAAGCAATACCTCGCAATGAATCTATCTACAAGCTCGGGCTTTAAACTAAGTTAATCGAGGAAGAACAGGTGTTACTAATCAGTACTCTGGGGAACTGGAGCGCTGATTGGAGCGTGAGAGTGAGGCTGGAGTCACATGATCTCCCAGGGGATTCTGGGAGATTGAGTCCAAAAAGAGTTCAGAGCCGAAGGGAGTCGTGACACAAATAAAAATAAAAGAGGAAAACCAAGCAAGTAATCAGATTTCTCAGTGCATGTAAACTCTTACTCTGATTTCTTTCAAATTT